AGAGAGAGAGAGAGAGAGAGAGAGAGAGAGAGAGAGAAATCAGTTTCTGATAAAGAAATTCAATATATTCATTGTCCAGCCAGAGGACAGCACACTAAAGCACATTAAAATTCAGAATTCTATAAGACACATTTTGTAATGAACTTTTAACTCCTCACTGTGAGTTTAATTTGTTTCAATCTGTTAAAAATATGACCCCATAAAGGTCATGTACCAGTGAGGCATTGCTGGCCAAAAGAAACCAAATTCATGGATAATTATAGTATTTTGTAGTGTTAGTTCAATGCAAAAATATTGAATAAAAACTGTCAAATAATTGTTAGAATTGCATTTTGATACCATGGATGTAGTCTTCAATTATTAATTTCAAAAGATAAAAGGTGCAATCATATGCAAAAGGACAGAGTTGTAAGCATTCTGTTGCTCACATAGTAAGGAAGCACGCGCACACACACACACACACACACACACACCCCTTAGCCTGACGTCCAGAAAAGGGATTGAGTTTGGAAAATGAATATTGCTATATGAGCAAAAAATGTCCGTAGAAACGTGACCTACATAGTTAATGTGTGTGTGTGTGTGTGTGTGTGTGTGTGTGTGTGCGTGCGTGCGCGCGGTGTGTGATGAGTGTGTGTGCCACAAAGGGCAGAAAAACACAGAAGAAACCAAAGCGAAGGTGAGAAAGGGCACGCGGCACTGCTCCACCCGGCTGTGCAGGTGCACCTGCAGCTCTGCAGTCCCGGGTCCGAGGGAGAAACTGTGATTCGAGCCCAGAGACTGTCTGTGTGCAGAAATGTCTCAGTTCTAGGAACACAAAACTTGGGTGAACTAAGACTTTACAGTTACTTGCTGGGCAGGTCCCTACTGTAGGGAGTGATCTATTTTAATTAACATCAGTGAATTCCATTTTTTCTGTATTTAGTACAGGGTCTACAGGGTCTACAGGGTCTACAGGGTCTACAGGGTCTACAGGTCTCACTGAGAACATCACACTCGTAGTGACTCTCCTATTCACAGCCTCCCAAGTGCTGGGATTACATGCCCGCGCCACCACGCGCAGTCTCAATCGCGGATCAGCGCGCCCAGGAGCGGGGCGGGTACAGCACAGCGGGGATGAACCACGGCGCTACACTCTGCCTAAGCGGGCGCTTTAGTCCACTGAGCTATCTGGCCAACCCATGAATTTAAACGTTAATCTAATATAAAAAGCCCTTCACAGAACTCATGAAAAAATGTTTGCCCAAATGTCTGCACATCATACCACAAACAAGCTGGGCTGAATAGTTAGGGGCCGGCTAAATAGCTCAGCGAACTAAAGCATCTACCAGCAGGCACAGGGGCTGGAGGTTTGATCCCCAGGCTGGCTGTGCTGGTCCCACCCCAGGGGCGCAGGCCCGCTGAGATGGCAATTGAGACTGGGCGTGGTGGCGCGAGCCTGTAATCCCAGCTCTTGGGAGGCTGTAAGCAGGCAGATCACTATGTGTCCGATCTAGTAGTGAGACCCTGAATACCCTGTAGACCCTTCCCTAAAATACAAAAATAAATAAATAAATAGGTAAATAAAATAAAATAAAAAATAAATAAATAAAAAGCAAAACATAAGAAGAAAGCTTGAGAATGAAGCAAAAGATGGAATATACTCAATGAAATGTAGCCCCAAAACCTAAAATTAAGGTCAAGCACAAGATTGTTGGTATCAGTTTGTGTTTCCGAGAGTCAGGGATTGGTTCTGAGGAACTCACATGTGTCTAGAACATCGGTGCTCGTTTGCTGTCCCTTCACTCTCCTCCTGCCTCTCTGCAGTCCCGCCACTCACTCCTCCACGTCTGACTGCGCTAGCACCTCTGCTTTATTTTAGTCTTTCATGTATTTGTATTTTGGGTTTTCTGTTGAAGAGTAGAGCGAGCTTCCTTCAGCATTGCTGTTCTTGCCAAAACGTGTGTGAAAACACCGCGTTCCGCTGAGCGTCGTGGTTCTGATGGGAAGCCAGAACGGCTGCTCCTCCACAGGGGCCGCGGAACGAGGTCTGCAGCAATTTCCCAGAAGGTCTTAGCTCAGAAATGAAATTACTGCTACCAGCCACAAAGTTCCTAGGATAACGCAGTATAAACCAAACGGCTATTTCTCACTGTTCTGGCGACGGGAAAGCCAGTGTGCCAAGTGCCTGCTCTAAGCGTCTGCTGAGGGCCTGCTTCCTGCGTGACAGACAGCTGTCTCTTTGCTGTGTCCTCATATGGCTACAAGAAAGAATGGAAGCAAATAATGTCCGTGTGTTTCTTTGTTTTTGATAAGGGCTAATCATTCATGAGGTTTCATGCATGTCCCATACTGAATCCTGGTAGCGATTTCCTGTTTTCGCTACTTTGATTGCTGTAACACATAACCTTGGCCAGGATGACTAGTTACCAATTCAAATTTATATCTTAGAAAGCTAGGAATTAGGAGGCTGGGAACAGACTGAGACTGGCCAGGCCTGACACTCACACATTCTGGAAAGTTAGGTAGCTACCTGGCTGCCTCTTCCTATAAGGGAAGTAAGTTCATTCTCAAGTTTCAGTCACATGACTAATACCTCCCTAAACCCTGTTGTGAATTTTGGGGAACTGTATCAAGTCCCTACTAGCTAGGCTGGGTGCTACTGGCCCCTAGTGGTAGAGGCCAGAGACCACGCTACACACCTTACCATCTATGTAGCTCCTACAACAAAAATTCTGTTGCCCCAAACATCAATAGTTCTAAAGTTCAGAAATCCTGATACAGAATAAAAAAAATTGAATGGTAGACTATTAAAACTACTATATTCATAAAATAT